CTCAAAAAAGATATTTTGGCCTTGGAAAGGGTTCAGAAAAGGGCAACTAAAATGATTAGGGGTTTGGAACGGGTCCCATATGAGGAGAGGCTAAAGAGACTGGGACTTTTCAGTTTAGACAAGAGGAGACTGAGGGGGGATATGATAGAGGTCTATAAAATCATGAGTGGTGTGGAGAAGGCTGATAAAGAAAAGTTATTTATTAGTTCCCATAATAGAAGAACTAGAGGACACCAAATGAAATTAATGGGTAGCAGGTTTAAAACTAATAAAAGAAAATTCCTCTTCACATAGTGTGTAGTCAACCTGTGGAACTCCTTGCCAGAGGAGGCTGTGAAGGCTAGGACTATATTAGAGTTTAAAGAGAAGCTGGATAAATTCATGGAGGTTAGGTCCATAAAAGGCTATTAGCCAGGGGATAAAATGGTGTCCTTGGCCTCTGTTTGTCAGAGGCTGGAGAGGGATGGCAGGAGACAAACCGCTTGATCATTGTCTTTGGTCCACCCTCTCTGGGGCACCTGGTGCTGGCCACTGTCGGTAGACAGGATACTGGGCTAGATGGACCTTTGGTCTGACCCAGTACGGCCGTTCTTATGTTCTTATGTTATGTTCTTATGTTCTTATGTATTTGCATGTTAGATATAGGCTCTTTCTTGCTACAAAAATATTTGTTAAAGTACAATTCTAGTGAAACACGTAATCCTGATCTCTCATTGGGTGCTTTCCTCTAAAGTGGAACATTATTTATACATCAGAGAGAAAAAAGGACATATTTATGTCCCTCTAGGGCACAGGGAATGAAAATCATTGTGTTGATATTTTAATACAAATTACTTCCTGCATTTTTAAGTGACAGAAAAATGAATATTCATGGACTCACAAGGCCAAATGATCTCTCCTCTACATGGCACAAAAGAGGAAAAGGGTTTTGAAAGACCTCAAATCAGCAGCATGTTTGCATGGTGGTTGGTAAGTGTTGTCTGCTTCATGCTGCCCCTTTTTTCTGAACACAGCACAATTTGGAATCGTAGAATTGGGGATGAAAGTTTCTGAAGCAGAGAGGGTGGAGCCAGGCAGCAGCTGCTCTATGTAGCATTCTAGTCTCCAAATCCGGTGGAGCCATAAAGAAATTAACACTGCTTGAAGCAGCATTCCCTTTACCACTGTGTATTCTATTACATCCCTAGGCCCTCCACAGAATGTGTCTAGATTTGTAGCTTTTCTTCTACACAAATCCTCAGGTTCTTATGGGTTTGAAGACTATCTGCTGTCCCCTTGTCTCACTCCCAAATAAAAATGCAGCAATAACTGCAGACTTTACAAAAACGAGGAGTCGTGTGGCCCTTTATGGTACATCTACAGAGAAGATCGACCCTCCGGAGGTCAATCTTCTAGTGTTTGATTTTAGCATGTCTAGTGTAGACCCCCAAATCGAATGCAGAGGGCAGCCGCCAGTGGTGTCCTTTACTCCTCATTCTGTGAGGAGTAGGGGAAGCTGACAGGAGTGTGTACTGTCATTGGCCTCCTGCAATGTAGATGCTGCGGCAGCTTGGCTTAAGGTAAACCAAATCCAGCTATGCATTTTGTAGACTAGGCCTTAGAGACTAAGAGTACGTCTACACTTGCACCCTAGTTCCAACTAGGGATGCAAATGTAGGTGACCGAAATTGCTAATGAAGCAAGGATTTAAATATCCCACGCTACATTAGCATAATCTTGCCCACACGCTATTCCGATCGCCAGCTGATTTGAACCAGGAAGTGGGCTCTGGGCCGCATTAGTTCGAATCAAACCCCTTGGTTAGAACTAACGTTACTCTTCAATTTTTTGAGGAGTAACTCCTCATTTTTTTGTTCGAATCAGCTGGCAATCGAAATAGCGCGCTGGTGAGATTATGTTAATGAAGCGCGGGATATTTAAATCCTCGCTTCATTAGCAATTTTGGTCATCTACATTTGCGTCCCTAGTTCGAACTAGGGTGCAAGTGTAGACGTGCCCAAACAAATTTATTAGGAAGGTTCGGGGGTAGCCAAGTTAGTCTATACAGGATAAATGTAAAAGACAACCAAAGGCCTGGTAGCACTTTACAGACTAACAAAACATGTATATGGTATCATGAGCTTTCGTGGGCACAGTCCACTTCTTCAGATGACCGGAGTTTTATTAGGGTTTCTAAGATGCCACCGGACTCATTGTTTTTGCAGATACAGACAAATTTGACTACTCCTCTGAGAAGTCTGCAGATTTTTTTAAGTGTACCCAGGAGCATTTTGTGGAAAAGGAGCACTCAGCCTTTGAAAATTAGAGATGGAAAAAACCCACCTATCTATCTATTATACAAAATGGGCTGAAGTCTACGTGGTGGCACCTACATACCACCTGGGGTCTCTGTAAGCCTGAGAGATCTATACATTCTATATTCAGGCTATGCAAAGGGATAAAGATCTTTGTTATTATAAAAAAACATGTGCCCTAGACTACACTCACTTTATTGTTACAACAAAAATACCTGCAAAAAAAGTATCTAAGCACCTCACAAAAATTAATGAGTTAATTCGCAAAATGCCCCTGAAAGGAAGGATAGTAGCCCTTTTTTACAAATGGGGAAACAGAGACTCAGAAATATTAAATGACTTCTACATGAAAGCTATCCCAGAGTTCTGAATAGAACCCAAGTCATTTGGCTTCAACAGCCTCTTCCATTCCTGTATCTCAGCCATAAAACTATCTCATCTTGCTTAGCTGTATCTGTTACACAGAGGTGCCTTGTGTCTATGCTGGTATGCATTTTTGTATGGCATATGTGTTCCCTATGGTTTGATATATGTGTGTATTAGTTTGTCATCAAATTTTGTCAACTTTCAGTTTGTTAAATGAAAAAGTAGATCAGTATTACCTCTGCAACATGGTAACTTTAGCAATCAGAAAATTTCATACTCGATATAAAGTTATATATCCAGGTTTTTATTCTGCTTAGTGTGAGAATATATACTATTACAAGTGTTTGATGGTGGGTGGGTATGCTAGTCTCTTGGTTCATGGCATATTTTCTGTTGTGGTATGCTCAGTTTTGTGAACTGTGTCTGGGTATTGTACTTGTTTCGGTGTATTGTATGTGCATGTTTGTTCTGAATTGTATATGTATTGTGTGTGTTTTGTGTATCATTTGTTCTGGGTAATCTTTGTGCTTCTTTGGGTATATTATAAATGTAATGTTTTGGGAATTTGTGCTGGTATTGTGTGGCTATTTTGTATCGACCAGTGTATGCATCTATGTATCTCATGTGGATTATGTTTGGGTATTGTGTATGATTACATGTATTGTGTGTTTCATGTCTGGCGGTTGTGTGTGTTTTCTATGTGTAGTATCTGGGTCATATTTAGGTGCGGCATATTATGTGTGTGTTGTGTATTGTTAGGTGCACTGTCTGGACCTGTTGTGTATGGCTGTGTATATTGTGTGTGTTGGGTATTACTGTGGGCTCTATCCGAATGTTGTATGGGTTCTGAATTGTTATGGGTCACACCTGGGTGCTGCCTATTGCTATGTGTACCGGGTGGGTCATATCTGCAAGTTGTGCAGATTGTGTATTGCTATGTGTATGGTGTGGTTGTGAGCCATGTGTAGGTGTGATGTGGGTTGTGTATCATGTGGGTCATGTCTAGGTGTTGTGTATTATGTGTGTGGGTTTTATACTATGTGGACCATGCCTGTTGCTGTGGAGTGGTTATCGGTGGCATGGGCCATGCTTGTAGATGTGTGAGGTGGTTATATTGTCAATGTTGGCTATGCCATAGCTGCGTAGGGTGGTTGTGGATGGCCTACGCTATGCCTATAGCAGCGTGGAGTGGTTGTGGGCTATGCCTATTGAGGTGTGGGGTGGCTGTGGGTAGCATGGGTCATGCTTATATCAGTGTAGGGTGGCTGTGGGCGGCATGGGCCATGCCTGAAGTTGTGCGGGGTGGCTGTGGGCCGTGGCTGTCGCGGTGCAGGGTGGCTGTGGGCCGTGGCTGTCGCGGTGCAGGGTGGCTGTGGGCCGTGGCTGTCGCGGTGCAGGGTGGCTGTGGGCCGTGGCTGTCGCGGTGCAGGGTGGCTGTGGGCCGTGGCTGTCGCGGTGCAGGGTGGCTGTGGGCCGTGGCTGTCGCGGTGCAGGGTGGCTGTGGGCCGTGGCTGTCGCGGTGCAGGGTGGCTGTGGGCCGTGGCTGTCGCGGTGCAGGGTGGCTGTGGGCCGTGGCTGTCGCGGTGCAGGGTGGCTGTGGGCCGTGGCTGTCGCGGTGCAGGGTGGCTGTGGGCCGTGGCTGTCGCGGTGCAGGGTGGCTGTGGGCCGTGGCTGTCGCGGTGCAGGGTGGCTGTGGGCCGTGGCTGTCGCGGTGCAGGGTGGCTGTGGGCCGTGGCTGTCGCGGTGCAGGGTGGCTGTGGGCCGTGGCTGTCGCGGTGCAGGGTGGCTGTGGGCCGTGGCTGTCGCGGTGCAGGGTGGCTGTGGGCCGTGGCTGTCGCGGTGCAGGGTGGCTGTGGGCCGTGGCTGTCGCGGTGCAGGGTGGCTGTGGGCCGTGGCTGTCGCGGTGCAGGGTGGCTGTGGGCCGTGGCTGTCGCGGTGCAGGGTGGCTGTGGGCCGTGGCTGTCGCGGTGCAGGGTGGCTGTGGGCCGTGGCTGTCGCGGTGCAGGGTGGCTGTGGGCCGTGGCTGTCGCGGTGCAGGGTGGCTGTGGGCCGTGGCTGTCGCGGTGCAGGGTGGCTGTGGGCCGTGGCTGTCGCGGTGCAGGGTGGCTGTGGGCCGTGGCTGTCGCGGTGCAGGGTGGCTGTGGGCCGTGGCTGTCGCGGTGCAGGGTGGCTGTGGGCCGTGGCTGTCGCGGTGCAGGGTGGCTGTGGGCCGTGGCTGTCGCGGTGCAGGGTGGCTGTGGGCCGTGGCTGTCGCGGTGCAGGGTGGCTGTGGGCCGTGGCTGTCGCGGGCAGTTCCTCTGGGTCTGTTCTCTCAGTCTTGCTGCGGGCAGGAGACCTCCGGCTCGTGCTCTAGACGGCCCTGGTCTCTGTGCCAGGAAAGGAAGCGCCCCCGCTGCGGGCGCTTCGGAGAGGACCTGAGCACTCGTTAAACTCGGAGGGGCCGGGAATGCGGCACCGTGTCCCGTCACACGCCAGGCTGCTCGGCGCAGGGAAAAGAGCGAGCCCCCAGCGCCACCTCGCCTGGCCGCTGCTGCACTTTGTGTGCGCGTTTGCGGGGCCAGGACACATCACTGATTTCAGAGACTGTTTATTGTTTGCAGCAGCTTCGGGGCTCCGGAGGTAGTTACAGCAAATTGTGTGTGTGGATAAAGCACATTATCCCTCTCTGGAAAGCAATAACAATGCTCAGGCAGACATGGCTCTGCTGAGGCACATCCATAGCCCAACTTGTCAGCTCTATTGTTGCGAAAACAGTGAGTCACTTAATCCTTCTCTAATTGTCCAGCTTTTCCTCGGTGTATTTCTCTGTTTATGCCTTTTACTGGCCCAGGGCGGTCTAACTCCTGTCACTTCAGACTCACTAGTGTATGTGTTGCCCGAGGTGGAGCAGAAATTGAATGAGGGGAGAGAAGAAAGGAGGCAGAGGAAACTTAAGGAGAGTTGGCTAGTTTGAGAAGCTGCAGCTTGCTGATCTCATCCGTGTGTGCTCTGTTAAAGTGAGCTTTTCCCTTAGCATTTCCCCTCCCCCCCACATCAGAGTGAGGGATGCGAACGCTGCTTGAGCCCCCTTCTTTGTTAGGGACAGATCTGTCTGCACGGAGTGGTGTAGGCACCATA